TAGTGGTTAGCCTCCTTTTCCTGACACTCAAAATCAAACACTAATAAACTAATACAGCAAAGTTGCAGGATACAAAATCAACACTCAAAAATAAGTTGTGTTTCTATACAGTAAAATAAATACTCCAAAAAGGAAATTAAGAAAACAATTCCGTTTATAACAGCATCAAAAAGAATAAAATATGTAGTAACAAACTTATCTAAGGAGGCAAAAGACTTATAACACTTAAAGCTACAAAACATTGCTGAAATTAAAGAAGTCATAAATAGAAACAGAAACACATCTCATGTTTATGGACCGAAAGCCTTAATACTGATAAGATTTCAGATGTCAATGCCAAAAGAGATCTGAAGATTCAATGCAATCCCTATCAAAATCCCATTTTTTTGCAAAAATAAAAATAAAAACAACCTAAAATTCATATGGAATGTGAAGGGATCTCAAATACCCAAAGCAATCTTAGAAGAAGAACAAAGTTGGAGTTCTGAATCTCAAAACTTACTACAAAGCTACAGAACTGTGATACTAGAATAAAGACAGGTATAAATATCAATAGAATAGATTACAGAGCCAGAAATAATCCCTCACATATACAGTCACATAGATGATTTCTGACAAGAATATCAAGATCATTCAATGGAGAAAGGATTGTCTTTTCAAAAAAAGGTTGGGGAAACTAGGTATCCATGTGCAAAAGAATGAAGAACTTGTAAAAACAGAAAGTAGAAAAGTGGTTACTTTTACCTTTCACCATAAACAAAAATTAACTCAAAACGCATCAAAGAGCTAAACGTAAGACCTAAAATTGTAAAACTTTTAGAAGAAAGCATAGGGCTAAAAAAGCTTCATGACTGGGTTTAGCAATGAATTTTTAAACATGACACTGAAAGCATATAGATAGCAAAAGATAAAACAGGTAAATTGAACTTAATCAAAATTTAAAACTTTTGTGCATCAAAGGCACTATTAAGAGAGTGAAAAGGCAATCCATAGTATGGGAGAAAATATTTGCAACTAGTATCTGATAAGGGATTAATACTCAGAACATATAAAGAACTCCTACAACTCAACAACAACAACAAAAACCAAATAACCCAATTCAAAAGTTGGCAAGGGACTTGAATAGACATTTTTCCAAAAAAGAAACACAAATGAATAGCACACAAAAAGAAGTTTGACATCACTAGTCATTAGAGAACTACAAATCAAAATCAGAATGAGATACCACTTCATACCCATTAGGATGGCTATTAAAAAAATACAAACAGAAAATAACAAGTATCAGCAAGGATGTAGAGAAATTAGAACACTTGTGCATTGCTGGTAGTAATGTAAAATGGTGCACGGCCACTGTGGAAAACACTACGGTGGTTCCTAAAAAAATAAAGCACAGAATTACTATACGATCCACCAATTTCACTTTCTAGGTATATACCAAAAATAATTGAAATAAGGGACTTGAACAGATATTTGTACAGTAATGTTCATAGCAGCATTATTATGGTAGCCAAAAGGTGGAAACAACACAAATGTCCATTAATGGAAGAATGGATAAAACAAGTGTGGTATATACATACAATGGTATATTGTTTAGTCTCAAAAAGGAATGAAATTCTGATACATGCTACAACATGAATGAATCTTGAATACATTATGCTAAAGTGAAATAGCCAGACACAAAAGGACATATATTGTCTAATTCCACTGATATGAAGTACCTATAATAGGCAAATTCATAGAGACAGAAAGTAAAATAGTGGTTACTAAGGGTAAGGAAGAGTGGCAATGGGGATTTATTGTTTAATGGGTACAGAGTTTCAGTTTGGGATGATGAAAAAGTTCTGGAGATGGTGGTAGTGATGGTCAAAGTATTTAATGCCACTGAATTGTACACTTAAAATGGTTAAAATGTTAAATTTTATGTTATGTACATTTTGCCACAATAAAACTTATTTTAAAAAAGAGTTAAGGGACTCATATAGTATCTGTCTTCCTGTCTGACTTCTCTCACTTAGCATAATACTTTCAGGATCTTTCCATGTTGTTGCAAATGGCAGGATTTCCTTCTTTCTCATGGTTGAATAATATTCATATTATTCATATGTACATATGAATGTATACATATATAAATCACACTAACATTATCCATTCTTCTGTTGATGGGCTCTTTGATAGATACTTCGGTTGTTTCCATATCTTGGCTATTGTGAATGCTGTAATGAACATGGGTGTGCAGATATCCCTTTGAGATACAAATACTGTATGATATCACTTACATGTGGAATTTAAAAATCTGAACTTGTGAAAATTGAGAGTAGAATAATGGCTACAAGGGGCTGGGGGCGGGGAAGGGGAATTTGGGAGATGTGATTTCAGGGTATAAACTTACAACTAGTACATAAATAAGTTACAGAGATCTAATGTACAGCATAGTGATTACAGTCAACAATATTGTATGATAAACTTCAAAGTTGCTAAGAGACTACATCTTAACTGTTCTCAATAGAAAAATGATAAATATGTGACATACATGATAAAGGTGTTAACTAATGTTACTGTGGTAATCAGATTGCAATATATAAATTTATCAAACCAACAGGTACACACCTTAAACTTACACAATATTATATGTCAATTGTATCTTGATTTTTAAAAAGTCTGAAAAAAAAAGTTAAGGAACTCAAAGAACAAAACGAAGGAATGACAAACTTAGAAGAGAGCTGGAAACAAGTGTTTATGCTTTTCTTATAACATAAGATGACTAATAAGTCCTAACTGTCCCTGTAATAAGCTAGAAGTCACCTCTCATGATAGATCAGCGGTCTACTCTGAAGAATAATGAATAAATTTTGATGCCTTCTGATTAAATTAGCAGAATATATGTCTTTCATGTGCCAAACTTAACTATTCCACATTATCCTTTGATCCTGTGGATCAAAAGTAGTCAGCATTAAGAGTAAACAACTTTATAAAACTGCCACTGCTGTCTCAGACATTTTGCTGAAGGTAAAGTCCACTAGAAAGGTATGGCCAAGATCTTCAAAGGTCCACTTCTAATTCAGCAAGTGGAAAGTAAACCTGTCAAACTAGCACCAAAATCCAGGGGAAAGTTTTCAGCCACTATAGTAATCCTCCTTTAAATACAGACAGACACACACACTCTATTGTATTAATGATAACCACTTTGATAAGGTAATTTTTACACATTGCCAATGGGGAGAGTTCTTACTCAAGAAAGGAATGACGAACCACAAAAGGCAAACTAGGGAGCAGTGATACCTAATGGAGGTGACACAGTCAGAAGCCAGGAGAATTAGAATCTACAAAAATGATTCCTAAATTTACTGTCTCTAGGTAAAGTCACCCAAAAAAGCATCAAATATCAAATTTTCAGTGTTTTAAATATTAATTTATATGGCTGATAAATATAATAGAGGTCAAATACAAATTTACCAAATACATTTCAACTATTCCACACAACTTTAAAAGAAATACTATCCTTTTATGAATGTTAACTAAACACTTAATCTGTTATAATATATGGAATGCTAAAAATGTACACAAAACCTTTCCTGAGACAAGGCACAATACCAACATGACTAACCTGCATATGTATTTATTCAAGATAAGAAGCATTTCATTTCCAAAGGGTAAACCATGGTCTTATCAGCTATGTCTCTTAATGCAAACACCAAAAATGAACTACAGAACCAGGTCAGAGGCTATATGGATCTGTTTCTGCAAATGTGAAAGAAGGAAGAAATCATCAACAATGCTATGAAAACTGTATTATAAAATATCTTGTTCAACTAAAAATGAATGCTATGAAGGCTTCAAAATGGTTAACTTACAAAGCAGTCTATCAATGAATAGTCTGGATAAATATGAGGTTGCTCGTAGTTTATCACTAACATTTATTGAATACTCAAATATGTACCATGTGCTTTATAAGCATTATAAACATTATCTCTAATCCTCAATGTTTTATTTCTCAAGCTGAGTAATAGGTAAACAATTTTCAATGTGTTATTCTTTATTCTTTTTTGTATATCAGAAATATTCATTATACTCTTCTTTAAAAAAAAGTGAAAAAGTAAAGCTCCAAAATACTAAGCTGATTAGCTTGCCCAAGGTACCTAACTGGCACAGGTAACACTGGGACTTAGGTCTGCTCTATTCTGAATCCCAAGCACTTTCCAGTTCAAAGCTCTGCCTCTCAGAAACAATATTCACAGCAATGACTACAGATACCTCATTCACAAACCACTTTCCAGAGAGAGACAAGTGTACCAACCCCAGAACTAAACTAAATGAAATAAATATACGCTAGGGTAATTATAATTTATAAATGGTAACATCAAAGTATTAATCAAGAAATCAGATATAATAGTCATAGTTTGGCCATATGAGCCTGTTAAAGCTTTTAGACAGCAGCGGTATTAATACTTAAAGAAAAGTACTCACCAATGGTGGTCAAAGTAACATGTAGAAAGGGGAATGAACCACAGACAGAACAAGGTTCATTTGTCTTCCAGTACTATTGAATAAAGAGGATATCCTCATCCACTTAGGATCTGAGCATTCAGATCATTCAGTCTATGTCTTAGCAGGACACACAGGAACATCTACTTTTTTTGTTCTGGCTCTATACTTACCAAGACAGCTTCTGATTACAATTTAGCTTCCCATGTATCTAAGCCTACAGACCAATTAGAGCATATGACCTAATAACTATATTAGGTCTAATTAATTAATTAATTATAAATTATAAATTTGTGTCCTAGATCTAGGCATTTGAGTTAACACAAGTCAAGTCTCCCCAGCATGTCCAACCACCTCTGGACACTGACAGAAGGTGAAGGCCAGACATTGAACCATGGAAACCCAACCATGAAACTGTTCCTCAGAGACTCCAAGCCAGAGAGTGGAGTTAAATGACACCATTAACTAGTACGTCTTGAGCTTCAGCAGTTAGCTTAATGTCAAGAATCTTATTTTATGGGAATGAGGATTTCTCAGACTAGAGACTTTGATGCTGATTCTGATGTCAAAAATTAAGTTTTAACTCATCTGGGGGGCAAAAAAAAGCCTTATTTTAAACAGGGTCCATTTAAGAAATCATTTGTTGTAAAATGGTTAAAAATATGAGTGATCTGCTCAAATAACTAATGAGGAAGAAATTCTTAAATCATCAGTGTAAATGTTTATACATATAATCGATGGAATATAAATTTCTGCTCTACCCCTTTGGGTAGGTTACTTAATGTATCTAAACCTCAGGTCTATCACCTGAAAACCAATCATCCCTTCCTCATATAACTATTGTAAGGATTAAATAAGATATTCAAAGTAAGTACTGTATAAGTTCTCAATTAATATTAATTTTGATAAAGGCGAAGTGTATGACACTATTTTTAATAACTTAAGATATACTAAAGTTCCTCAGCCATAAATTCCCTGATTGTTGGGTTTTCAGAAACTTAACGGTCATACTTAGGAAGAGACCACATAAAACTAAGAGATAATTCCAATTAGTAAGTGCAGAAGAAATATGGGAAATAGAAAGTCACCATTAGAACACCACAGTAACACTTATTACAGGCAAAACACACCACTGGATGCCAAAAAAAAATAAGGGAAAGTTTGAGGAGAAACATATTTACATAGTCTCAAAGTATCTACTGCCAAGATATTTATTAATCTACAAAGGGAAAATATTAATTTATAACAGATAATACCTATCAGACACCACACTAACCAAATAATCAAGGTTATCATAACCAGTAATCCACATCAACATGATATAGCCCCTGCTATGATGCACTGAGAAGGGTACATCACTTCTATGGTATTCTTGCCAAAATTCATAGCATAAATCTAACCATGTGAAAACATAAGACAAATCCAAATTAAGGGACGTTCTACAAAATAACTGAGCAACATTCTTCACAAGGTCAAGATCATGAAAAACAAAGGAAAGACTGAAGAACTGTCACAGAATGGAAGAGACTAAAGGGGCATAATAACTAAATGCAATGTGGGATCCTAAATTGGATCATAGCATTGAGAAAAGAACAGCAGTGGGAAAACTGGTAAAATCTGAACAAGTTCTGTGCTTTATAGTTAATAGCACTTAGTTAATTTCTTAAGTTTTGATAAATGTTCTCTGGTTAAAATATGAGCATAAGAGGAAACTGAGTGAAGGACACACGGGAACTTCTAGACTATCTTCACATCTTTTCTGTTTTTTTAATTTTAAAAATTTTATTTTTAGGGGGAGGAGGTAATTAGGTTTATTTATTTTTTAATGGAGGTGCTGGGGA